AAAAACGGCTTGATCTGAAAAGAGCTGTTTTTTGACAGGTTAAAAAAAAGGTGTTTTTACACTACCATTGAGAAATTTTAACCAAACTATGTTACAGACTTTTCATTAAGACCCTAAAGAATCATATCAACTTGTGGAAAATGGGCATCCTATGACCCCTTTAAATAGCGAATTAACAAATAAAAAAATTAGAAACATGACATTTCTGTATAAAATAATTTTATACACTTTAATTATATCTATATTAATTATATCTATATCTAGCCTATTGTAATCTGCCAGGGGCATGTTTAGTGTGTTGGGGGCCTACTGCAAGTGGTCCCGGCGGGCCCCCCCCGAAAAAGAAATCGCTGTCCATGGTGTTTAGGCATACCTAAATGCGCTACTGTAATCTGTAACAGTATTTAGGGATTGGGCTTATTGTGAATGATTTTAGGTTATGTTGACAATGGGCACGTTTGTGACGGTGACGTGGTAGTTTTGCTATTCGTGTCTTCCACTGTGCTCTATACGGTTTATTTTTCAATAGGATTAAAGAAAAGATTGAAATGACCTGAATATTGAGTCTGACTCTGTCCGTTAGTAACTAGTGCCCGCTCACTTTTGCCCAGGCCCGACCAAAAATAAAATTCTGCCTTTGCCACTAGTGTGGCCTACCTTATAATATGCCTCATGGGCAGTTCTCACTAAATGAGGTTTAATGCAAAATACACTGATACCATAAAATGTGTTGATGTTATTAGTGGTGATTGCTAAGGCAAGCATCATTATTATTGCTCATTGGGTGAAGGATTTTAATATAGCTAGAGACTAGATGATATTAAAATGCATGTGGGCTCTTTTTACTTGGGCCGTTGTGTGTTGTACATCACTACAATATTGGCAAATGACAAAGGACTGTTTTTGCACACCTAAATATCTCTATTGTGAGGGCACCTTTAGAATACCTTAGTAACACCCTAAAAACCACTCAGAACACCTTAGCAATGGGCAATGGCTTAGCGAATGAGAAGTTATGGACTTTAGATTTTTTAATCAACAAAGATTTTGTTAATATTTCTATAGATGTATATTTTGTAACTGGTTACCACAATTTTCAAACTTTTTGCTCTCACTGGTTTATTTTAAATGGTCCTGCGGAGTGACTTTTATAAATATTCTATTCTGTTTAGTCTGTCTAGAATAAAGAAAAACTAGTTTCACAACAGTGCTGTTTAAATAGTTTTAGATTAAGGGTAACACTTTAGTTTGGGGACAAATTCTCACTGTTAACTAGTTGCTTATTAGCATGCATATTAGTAACATATTGGCATGTTAATGGCATGTAGACACATATTAATGGCTTATTCTGCATGACCGTATTCTATATCCCTTAAAGGGATAGTTCACCCAAAAATGAAAATTACCCCATAATTTACTCACCCTCAAGCCATCCTCGCATATTTGACTTTCTTCTTTCAGATGAATACAATCTGAGTTATGGCTGGCTCTTCCAAGCTTTATAACTGCAGTGAATGGTGGTCAAGATTTTGAAGCAAAATAAAGTGCATCCATCAATCATAAAAAGTACTCGTACGTCCTAAGTCATCCACTGGAATGCCACTCTCTTGTGAACGTGCATATGACAGTTAGTGGAAGCTAGAGATTACAGTTTCTAAAGTTTTAAATATGGATATTTTTCTTACAAAAATGCATCAAATCGCTCCAGAAGGCTTTTATTACCCCCCTGGAGCCGTGTGGAGGAATTTTATGATGGATGGATGCACTTTTTTGGACTTCTAAATCTCAACAGTCATTCGCTGCCATTGTAAAGCTTGGAAGAGCCAGGACATGCTTTAATATAACTTCAATTGTATTCATCTGAATGAAGAGGTAGGTATGTTGAGACAGGAAAGATAATGTTTCATATTGAAATGAACAGTGTACAGAGCCACCTCATTACATACCATGATCATGATCAGATATTTTATGTGTCTCCTCAGACATTGTCAACTGTGACCTCAAGTCCACACTGAGGGTCCTCTACAACCTCTTCACCAAGTACAGGAATCTGGAGTGACAGAGAAGCTGAAATGTCTCAATTTAATCAAACTACCAAAATGCTCAACACACAGACATCACATCCTTATCAGTATTTTGCTATCTCTTTGTTTAATGTATTTCTTTTATGTTTGAAATTGAGAATGTATATTTATTCAGTCCACAAGATGAATTAAAAAATATTATTATTTCACTAAAAGTAAAATTAATTTAAGGGTTGGTAGTTGTTTAAGGTTACTACTTTCTAAAGTGTATGTGGTGAGACAAAAAAAAAAAAAAACGAAAAGTGTAGTCCAGTATAGAAAGATGTTTTCTGTAGTAATTCCACAGGAAGTCTCATACTGAGAAGCACAGAAGTATCATAGCAGTCCTAAAAAATTGTAGGTTGTCTGTCTCTTCATTTTTTTTTTCTCTTGAAGCTTCTAAATTGCAGACCCGCATTGCAGCCTGTCTGGCATATGAAGTGTTTTGAAAAATAATGTACTCTTATCATATACTTTGGCTTGTGGTTAAGTGCCGGTGTTAAATATGAAACGTGTTTAGGAGAGTCGGCAAAAATTTCCTTTCGATAAACCTTTGTTCTGACGAATGTTCTGCCGCCCCATTATCACTAGAGGTAGGGGATTAAGTGGTGAGTATGTCTTCATCAGAGAAGCACCTTTGAGAGCAGAAATAACAGAGAAGTACACCTGTGCAATCGAGCGTCCTGTGAGAAGGTGAATAGTGGTGTCCCCATAGCAGCCTGCTGCAATTACCTTCCCCTGAGTTTCCTTCTGATCCCTCCCTTCATAATATCAAACACGACCATAAGCTCGTTTCAGCTTCACTGAGCCAGAACTGCTGTTTACTCACAAATACAAAAGGGTGAGGCGAGGAGTCACTGAAATAGCTGCTAAATGCTTGACTCTCGCTGGCCAAGCATCTGATCTGAGCTTCTATTGATTTGTACTAAAGATCCTGGTCATTACGAGTAATTGATTCCAGCATCCAGTGTCTTTAGAGAATTATTAGAAGGCCTCTGGCATCTATTCCCACCATAGAGTGCTTTCGAAGCTTTTCTCATGTAAAATTTTATTAGCAAAATGTAGCTATGAAATCTTAAAGGTAAAATCATAAAGTCAAGGTTTAGGTAGCCTTGTGTAGCAAGAACTTTGTCTGATGAAGGTCTGTAGGCATGATGTACTGACGTATGTTAAATGAATTAGCATTTTAGTTTCCGGTTCCATCGTCCCTGAGTCAATGGTGTGGTTTTTTTTTTTTTTCAATGGGTTTTAAATGCCTGAAACATGGTCTGTGGTGAACACAAGCTCAAGATATTTTCACATTTTAGTCTATGACATAAAATGTATCATTAAAAAAAAAGCTTTTACTTGTCTCGAGAAAGACGGTTGCTTTCAAGTGGCTAAATGGGACTACAGAGGTTGTCGGGGACATTAAACGTCATCACACAGAACAGGTAAACTCATCTATTCACTAATCTGCTATTACAGCCTTGTTGTGTTTATAATTGCTCTCTTGCAATCTATTCTAACTCAAACTTTAAGAGAAAACATTTTTTAAAATAAAGACTTAAACAGTTGTCAGAAGCCTAATGGGGGTGACCTTGAAGTCATGTGATCGTGGTGTAGTTCCTTGATAGCCTACATTTAGCTTTTTACTTCTGGCAATTATGTTTATGACTTAGGTCATGATGAACAAAACATGTAAGAATCAAACTTTTATTAGTCACAGAGCTTATTTTCTGCACTCTAAAAAATGCTGGGTTAAATTCAACCCAGTGCTGGGTAAAATAGGGACAAACCCAGCAATTGGGTTGTTTTGACCCAGCGGTTGGGTTACTACCCAGAACGTTGGGTTAAAACAGCCCAATTGCTGGGTTTGTCCCTATTTTACCCAGCACTGGGTTGAATTTAACCCAGCATTTTTTAGAGTGTGCAATAATCCAAAAGTCAATGGAAAAATCCAGTTTTTTTTTTTTTATAAAAACAAATTCCACACTTCCTGGGGTTGCCTACAAAAATACGTCACTGCCATATTTGCCAAGTCCGCGTATTATACGCGACTTTGGGCTTCTTTTTTTGTAAAGTTGCGTGAAAAAATCCCGGGTCGCGGGTTGCGGTTTTTTGGGCTTATTTAAAAAAAAATATGGTTGCTTGTTAGGGAAATCTGACAAGCAACTTCGTTTCTTTATTTATGTTCGCCGTATTCTCCAATGCATTGGTTGACACTCTGTCTGCTCACGGTTAATAGCCAACCAGTGCAATAATATAAGTGCTGCAGCTTAATTTGCCAAATGTTCCGCCCCCTCCTCCCCCTCATTGGAGAAAATCACGTTTTAATTATCATGGGCTGTAATAAAAAACAAATAGTCCTATACTAATACTAAAACTATATATACATTTGGTTCGAATAGCCTATATTTTAGTAGGCTATAAATATGTGGCTATGTTACAGTTCCCCTTTGAAGCTCTTGTGTTTTTCTCCTTTTCCATCTCTCCAATCCTATTCTGCTCACAGGTGATTGGAGATGAGTTTTTTGATCTCACTTTGTTGCAGTTTGCTGATTTTTGTAAAATAACATATCTGTTTTTGCTTTTCAGATAAAAGAGTGGTTTCAGTTTAATATGTTGCAGGTTCATTTATTGGTAATAAATAATTGATAATGAATAATATTGATGATAATAAATCATCAAAAAATATATTGGGTGTCAGACTCTGTTCCATGTGTTGTGTGTGTCCTGCTCCCCATGTGCCTTCCCATGCCCTTATTTGATTAGTTTCCTGTTCCTCCCCTGATTAGTTTAGTTCATTTGTCCCAGGTGTTCCCCATGAATGA